AGGCCATAGCTAAGAGAAGTCAGGTGGCTAAGTAATTCCCTGAATGAGTGAGGGAGCCCCGCTGATGAGGAACAAGCTGGGCTGGATTTATAAAGGCAGGAAACTGGCAGGAGTGGGGGCTCATGGGAAATGGACTGAAGTCACTCCCTGCAAGCAGGGAGGAAGGTTTTGGTCTACAGAGAGTAGTCTGCAGTTGGGAGTGCCAGATGGCAAGGAAAGGGCTCAGGGAAAGGCAGTAAGGTCCAGGATGGAACAGACCTTGACTGCTGGCTAGAGGGTCCCTGAGCTAAAACCCAGAGTAGAGGGCAGGCTGGGTTCCCCTGCCAGCCACTGAGGGAATGGCACTATGAGACAGAAAATAGGAAGACTGCCCAGGATTGTTGAAGGAAGACTTTGGTACCCCAGAAGGGGAAAACACGTATAGTGACCTGGCAAGAGGACCAAGTCACAAAGAGGAGGCTGCAGCACCCAGAGTGAGAGAGGGACCAGGGAGAGATGCAGACCAGGGAGAGATGGCATGCAACCGCGGGAGTGGGCATTGACCTCGAGAAGCTAATCCCCAGAACAGCCAGGAGGAGGTGCCATCCTAGCGGTGATTGGAGCACCTTGTCACAAGCTAGAATGAAATGTCAGATTTTTCAGACTATATGCGGAACCTTATGGCAAGTGTTACTATACTGATGGTTAAGATTAAGATTTTGTCAGGGGTATTTTCAGTGAAACTCAGGGAGAGGTCGTGGGCAATAAACAAAAATGAATGGAAGCCTGTGACCAGTCCCTATTACTAAAAATAGTGTGTGGGGATGAGGAGGACTAACAAACGGGGGTGCTGGTGGCTGCTCCAGCCCTGGCGGCTGGCTGCCGGCCGCTACTCCAGGCCTGCCGCTGTGGCGTAGGCTGAAGCCCAAGGAGCCATGGAGGTCTGTTAAAATCACAGAATCTGTGACCTCCGTGTCCAAATCGTATCCTTACCAATGGTTGTCAAATGGTTTAATTCTGTGACCCATTCAGAAAAAAATATCCGTATGGTATCGCTCCACTCAGTGCCCAGATCGCTCCTGGCTTGGGTTCTCAAGTTTTTCATTCTGTGGAGTACCAGAAATGATATCCTGCCCTGCAGCTTGAGAAGATGCACATTTTTAACAGCGAAGGTCATTAACCAACTATTGGAACAACTTACCTAGAGAGGTGGTGGATTCTCCATTACATGAAGTCTTTAAATCAAGAGCAGTGTTTTTCTTAGCTTAAATAGAAATTATGGGCTTGATTCAGGAATTACTTGGTGAAATTCTCTGCCCTCTGATATGCAGGTGGTCAGATTCGATGATCATAATGGTCCCTTTTGGCCTTAAAAATCTATGAATTTATGAATCTATGAAAGGCTGTTAGGTTTTGTTGTATACAAATCTTCCCCTCCTTTATTTCTCCTCCCATCTGTTCTGAAAAATACAATGACATTTGAAACAGGGAAAAAATAATACAATATCACAACTCTCTATCTGGAATTTGTTTTTTTTAAAGCACTGCAAAGCAGTACAGTATAAAATGTCTTTGCTACTTTTTAAAACCCATCTAAACACAGTGTGGGAAAATATAGGAGGCAGTGTATTCTATAATATCATACAAAATCAGCCCCATTCATTTCAATGGAATTCTATATATGGTGAAAGAAAGGTCATTTCTATGTTGTGGAGTGTTTTCTTGACAACAGTGAAGCACAGAGCCCTGAAATACATATGTATACCCTGGATATATAAAAAGTATGCATTTGCTATCTTAGCAATTTTTGTCCTTGAGATCTCTTTACATTTTACTGTTTATCCTATCTCAGAAGCTTCTGTTACTGCAGAATGCATCAACTGGCCTGCTTAGAGTAACCAACTGCTGGAAGAATGACATTTCTGGACACATGGACATTGTCCTAGTTCCCCACTGGGTACAATTCCCTATCTGGTGGAGACATGGCTATGTAAGAGACTGTAGATGAAATCCTAGCTTGATTGGTGTCAATGGCAAAACTCCCATTTATTTCAATGGGGTAAGGATTCAACCTTGCACCTCTTCCTATGCACACCTTTGTGGCAGCAGAGATCAGGTCTTGCTGACAATCCCTAAGGTTGAAAGGCAGGGTATCCTCGATGGAGAGTCTTTGGCTGCGGAACTCACTCCCCCTGGTGGTACATCAGAGAGACCAAGTTATTTTGGTCTGGTGCACGGCTAATCCTTTTAGCCAAAACTTCCCTTGACCAGATCAAAAACTATAAAGGCACTTTCTTCTTTTGTTTGTTTTTTTCTCATTTTTGGGGGTGGGAGTGGGCAGGTGGCTCACAAGGAAAGGGTTAGTTCTGCTATAAATTGTGGGCAGTTATATATGAACATTTTCCTTCCACATGTGATGTTTCCAGGTGCCATGTAGTTGAGCATGTTATTTATTACTAAACTAAAAATATAAGACAGTCTCAGTTGCATTAGGTATATACCAGCAATGCCTAGGAGTCTTCTTCAGAGCATGCAAGCCTTTATGCTGACAAGTACTTAAAAACCATTTAAAATTTCTTTGGCACAAGCTTTTTCTCCCATTTTTGGTCTCCACTGTTTCATTGGTCATATATATATATATATATATACATATGGGTGTGAGAGTATATAAATTAGAGATGTAAAAGATAGTGTTTTGGGGCCATCTAGTCGCTCATCCTACATTGGGCCAGCATAGAATTGTTTCTTACATCAAATCTTGTAGTACTTTGCCCCGCCCAACCTAAACATATGCACAATTTTTTTGCATGAACAGTCCCATAGATTTCAGGGGGGCTACTCTTATAAGTAAAGTTAAGCACATGAATTAGCGTTTTCTGGATCAGTCTCCAAGAGCCCAGTCCTGGTGCACGCCAAATGCTCTGAACTCCCATTGATATCAGATCAGGGAGGAGTGGGTCCCAAACAACTCAAATTCTGAGTTTCTTCAGATCAGTCTCCTGTACTGAAAGCAACTGCATTTGCTACTAATTTCTGAGCTTTAAAAACATCAATGTGAAGCATAGGATAACTGCACACAGACAAAAAGGGACTTTAATCAGGTCATGATGGTACAGATACAAATATTTTCAAACCATAAAGAAGATGAATGGAATTTATGAATGAATTATTGCAGCTCCCCAAGAAATCACTTCAAACCACCATTAATAATATAACTTTTCTTACACAGAATTATTCTTGGTTTATAAAGACAGGCTTTGTAACCTCCTTACTCTTTAATAGAAACTGCAACAATTAATATAAGCTATTAAAGTATCTACAAATTAGCCTTCCTATGTGATTCTCTCTCTTTTCGATGGACATTTTTGTGGATCATAAATAACAGTAAAATTATCATAAAAGCTAATACTACTGTACTTAAAGAAAATCATTATGTAAAGGTTTATGAATTTTTCAGCTATTAATAGACATAAGTTAATGGGCCATAGGTTTTCCAGAATATGATACCTGATATTTTTTCATCAATGAAACTTTCAGAGATGCAAAAACCTTCAGAGGTCACCAACTTCAAAAATGAAAAAGAAAGTTATAGCTTGGTAGTAATGAGTATAAAAATGAAATAGACACATGAAAGAAAATATCGCAGATGACAACGATCCTTTGAGTAGACGAGTCAAATCAGGGGCTGAAATCTGTGCCGTCAACAACAGAGTCAATAAAGTCAGAATTATAATATGCAAGATCAATCAGATAAGTTTTGAAACAGCTATTCTTTTGTGTATTTTTAAATTCACAGATACATAGATTTTTAAGCAGAAGGGACCATTATGATCATATAGTCTGACTTGGTGCAATTGAGCTATAGAATAATTTAGACAGACATCCAATCCAGGTTTAAAGACCTCCAGGTGATAGAGAATTTACCACAGCCCTTGGCAATCTGTTCCAGTGGTTAATTACCTTCACTTTTAAAAACGCACATCTTTGATAACAGAACAGTAGTTAATAAAAATTCGTCTTCCATTTCATCACTGAGTCCCTGTGCCTGGGAAGCTTTAAGCATAGAACTGCAGAAACATCTTTCACTTTCAGCAGAAGAGTGAGAGTACTAGGATAGCAGCAATCTTTTTGGTAAACACTCACAAGAATAGTTTTTATATATGGATACGATAATAAATATGTGGTTTTTAAAATTAAAAATGTAACTATTTATAGCATATGAAAAAAAAGTCTCTCCCATCTTTTCCAATCCCAGTAAGACGCTTTCTCAATCTTTACCCTCCAATCAGGAGATCATAATGTGCTGCCTCCTGCCACCCTACCAACGCACCTTGGACACCAAGGACCAACTCCATGGCTTGTGTAAATAGGTCTACCTCCATTGATTCAACTCAGCTAGACTGATTTACATCAGCTAAGGATCAAGCCCCAAGAGATCAGGAGATCTGATCTCTCAGGAGATCATGAGATAGCAGAATACATTGCTTATTCTACTTAACTGTGGTTGAAAGGGCGAGCATCTCTTCAAATGCGGATTTCCTGGTCTATCACCATGCTATTGCCACACCTCCACAATCACTGAATTTTTTAAAAGTAAGCTCCTACTATGAGAGCTCCCTTCCATATGTGATTCTGTTTTCTTTTTGGTGTCACTGAGAGTGTGAGGTTAAAAGGCTTCCATGACCTTGCTTATAACCAGATCCAAGATAAATCATAATTGTTTTGGCGGACACCAAACAAACAGTGATTTAAGTACAAGAGAATCATGATTCACTTCGGAGGAACCTAAAACTATTATCATTTTGTGATAGACAAGATGTTGAAGAAATCATGTGTTTTGAAACAAAGCCCTAGGAAATTAGGACTAGCCTGCCACTTAATGGTCTGAAAATGTACTAAAAACAAGTGGTCATGATCCTCATCATGGCCTAGTTATTTTGATCCTGAAATTACACTGCTACTTAGCTTCCGAAACACTTCACTTGATGTGTATGGTAATGCAGACAGCTCGAAATCCTTACCTGGCAATACTCTAGAGTTCTTCATGGAGTGCTGATCCTGTTTTGACTTGTACCCTTTGGCTGTCACTTCAGACCTGCAGAACACAGGAAAAAAGCATAGCTATCACAACACTTCTACTGATAATGATACTCAGAAATTAGAGCTGGAGAGCCACCATTACAAGATACAGGACTGTCTGTTACAATATACTTATTACTGCTTTATCCAGTTTCTAATTTTTCTATATCATATCTCCTAGCAGCATTTGAAACAGCCATCCACGTATCTCCATCTTAAGTATTATTATTAACCAAAGTAACTGAATTCCATAGCGGGATGAAGAAATCTGAGCCTGATTCTCTACTGATAACTCTCCTTACAGTGTGTATGGTAACACCCATTGTTTCATGTTCTCTATGTATATAAAATCTCTCCACTGTATTTTCCACTGCATGAATCCGATGAAGTGAGCTGTAGCTCATGAAAGCTTATGCTCAAATAAATTTGTTTGTCTCTAAGGTGCCACAAGTACTCCTTTTCTTTTTGCAGATACAGACTAACACGGCTGCTACTCTGAAACCTGTCATCTTAAGTACGTCCACATATAGAGCGATCAGAAAACCCATCAATCAAACTTACATTTCTGAAACACTTTTCAAGGAGACACTCCAAGACTTGGGAAAAATAAGAACACTAAAAGAAAGCAAAAGCCCTAGATTTAATACAGTTAGTCTCACATACTCTACCTGGCCTGAGTATCATGACAGTACTGGCTAGAGGAAATCAGAACCAAAGTTATGCTTTACAGGTCCAATCCTGCTCCCACTGAAATAATTACCAAAACTTACATAATGAAGGATCAAACCTCCATAGGCTCATGTGCACGCTGATTTTCAGAAAGTTTTTACCACTTTACAGCTATCTCATAGCAGAGCTCATACCTGATACACTTTACCCTTTCAGTGTGTATTTGTTGGTACATTAAGTTTTACTTTGTGCATTTTGCAAGGTTAGCTTTAAAAATGGTTGATGATTCCAATATTCTATTAACCAAAGTAACTGAATTCCATAGTGGGATGAAGGAATCTGAGCCTGATTCTCTACTGCCCACCATGGGTATAAATGGATGCAACCATTTACACTCATGCAAAGGGAGTACAAAGTGCCCACATTGCACAGTTGTAAATGACTGCATAAGGTTGAAGGCAGTGGAAAATCAGACCCATATAGCCAGACATTCAGATTGCGCAAATAGTTATAGCTCCATTGATTTACACCACATGAGGATCTGGCCCATGTGTGCAAATGTATGTGACTCTTTACACTCCGATTCAGTAAAGCACTTAAGCACATACTTAATTTTAAGCATATGGACCCTGATTGAGGAAAGCATCCTTATTCAGGAAAGCACATAAGCAGATGCTTAATGTTAAGCAGGTGCTTAAGTCCTATATTGAAGTCAATGAGACTATGCACGTACTTAAGCATGTACTTTCTTGCTTTATTAAATCAGAGCCCTTATTGGCAGTCTGCACATGGACATGCTACAGGTTGAAAAGGGAACAAAATGGGGTAACATGATGAAAAGACTTAGTACTAGCAACTAATTTAGACCCTGATTCAGCAAAACACTTAAGCGTATTTAAGTCACACTTAAGTCAATGGGAGTTTGTGTTGCTGAATATAGATGAACTTAAATACATGCTTAAAAGTTAAAGATGTGATTAAGTGCTTTGCTGAATCAGGGCCTTAGCTACTAAATTTCCTACCAACTGCAAAACTTGAAGAGCTGTACCTACAAGATTTGTAGCAAAGCACTGCAGTAGCCAAGAAGACAAAAGTTTCATTAACTAACCTAAAAAACATAGCTCACCTCCAGACTGAATTATATAACCAGAAGTAGCACATTTACATATACTGTATGATTAATGCCAACTTCCAAACAAAGCTCAGAATCTACACCAGCTCCGGAATCATCTAAAAACAAACTGCCACCAAAAGCAAGCACCTCCAGAGAGACCTGAGATCTCTGCTTTGGAAACCTACCAATAGTTTATCTGTGTTAAATGACAGAATATTTTAAGATAAATGTAAACAAGGGGTCAGGCTAAGAATACAAAAATACCCCCTTTCTTTCTATTAGTCTGGACAATTTGTCTTTCTGCTTTTGGGGAATTCTTCAAATAATATATATTTTAGCAATGCTTATTCTTATAGCCAAAAAGAGATCTTATATTTTTTGTCTGTGTTGCTCTTACATTCTTTACTTATACAGCACCAAAAATGCAAAGTAAAGTAAGACAGTTCTTCAAAGTATCAACCTAATAGGTCCTGCATTGATCACAAGTGTGCTATATGACCCCGCAGACTACAAAACTATCTACCTTAAAATGTTAAATATGTTATTCACATTCTAGGGAGTATGCTATATTCCTTTGTGCACAGGGAGCTATATGCATTAAAATCCATCAACATCTATGGTTAACTCTGAAAAACTGTTTTTTAGGTTATAATTATGTTTATTTAATATTTTCTGTATTTCTTGTTACTATTTTTCCAGCACTAGTGACATTTGCATGAAAAGATCTTTGTTGCTTCAGAGTTTATGTGCTGCTACTTCCCCACCAGAAGTCGTTAGGGCCCTAGTTCAGCAATGCACTTAGGAATGTGCATCACTTTAAGCATTTGAGTAATACTATTCCTGTTCAGCAAAGTACTCAGGCATGTGCTTACGTCCCATTAAAGTACATTAATCACTTTCCAGTGATATGCCCAAACAAAGTAGAGCTGTAACATTAGGTTCAGCAGGATGCTGGATTTGAAGGATCAAATGTGTGTTCTGGCATTGTAAATTCTGTTGTTTTATCATCATACAATATCAAGATACATACTGTCAAGAAAGGCTTAGTAACTTTTTTTTAATTTATGACTTGTGGGGAAACAGCCTTGAGACTGATCTAGCATACATTATGTAAGATAGTACTGGTGTCTTAAAAAATTTCAACTCCAGATGCTACTGCTGCAATGATTTCAGATGGTGAACTAGCTGTCATGAACAAGCTGAATTTGAAATTGTCCTTTATGTAGTAAGGTTAGTCTACTGAAAATGACACTTAAACAAAAATCCAGACACTGCACCTTTAAGATACTTAGATATTCAAACTTTGCATGTACAATTTTCATGATAAAAAATGAAAGACAAAAGATGAAAACTGCTTTATTTTAAATGGAAAAAGGCCCCAGATATATCCCAAGAGTCAAGTTAAAGATTCAGAAGTCAGGGCTAGGAGGGGAAAGGAAGATAAATAATTTAGCACTAAGAATAACTAAAGCCTGTTAGTCTGCCAACTTTAAGAGAAATAAAAGGGTTTACAAGAATCCTAAGAGTTTTTACAAAACCTCTAGGGCGTTGAAAAAATAAACCCAGAACAAAAAACAACAACAACAAAAAAAGAGTTCAAAAGTATTATGTGTAAGTAGATTTTAAAGGCACTGATTAAAATATGAAAACAATGGTATGTATGGATTCCATTAGCTCAAAATTAAGCTGTTCCTTTTGTGTTTTGTTTTCCCTGCTGTAATTATATACTGCAGCATCAACATGATGGTCTCTTTAATAGATGCATCTGCTTGAAAGGGGCCAAAAAGAATGTGCTATGGAGAGGCCAAAACCCACTAGATTAGCCTATCATTTCAAGTGACACGGATAAGCCTGTTTGGTATTACCTGTACTGGCATTCAGCATACACACATGCTCACTCCGTTCAGGCAACCCATACTTTCATGTTTTAAAGGCAAAGAAAGATCAATGTCAGCTGCCTTTGAGTAGAATGAATCATTTTTATGTGCCGCAGTGTCAATCTGCATGGTTTAATACACCACTATTACGGAAATAAAAACTTGAGGATGCCTCCTCCATTAGCTCTTCTCTTTGGGCAGCTCAGTATGATTTCCTTCCACTTGAGAATATTTTCTGATTCAGTCTAGTATGGCACTACGAATAAATATGGAGGTCCTTTGAATTGCATTAAAATATGAGTTAAATAAGAAAACCTACAGCTACATGAAGATTTTTTTTTTAATTCTGCCATCCCAAGGTTGTATATTTTTTAAACCAAAATGCAACCTTGTACTTTGCTGCTCTGACAATGTTACCTTTAAAGACAGAATTTCAGAGGAAAGTCAAGTTCATGTTTAAGCCACAAAACTCTCTTGAATTGCATTGATTATAGTGATCATTCTATCACTTTAATGTCATCTCAGCTGGCATGTATTAAAAAGATATGCATGTGACAGCCCATTGATCCTTAATATTGGAGCGGAGGGAAAGAGCCTGTTAGCAATAGAAGCTTATTTCTTTAATTAGAACTGGAGTATCATTCCCTCTTTGTTTGTTAGAACTTTAGTAGTATGCATTGCATACAGCACGGTAAAGGTATTAGAACAGGCCATCAAGTTTTGTTAAAAACAACATCTTTCAGGCCTGGGAGAACTGTACACATGACTGATGGAGATGGGAGAGAATGGCGGTACAAATCCCTTGTAGCCCTCACTCGCTCACTGTGGTTGAGAAGAGCTTCTCTAAGGGAAATGCTTTTTTTCTCTGTGGACTCTCCCATAAGCAAAAGCTTGGGTAGAAGGGATGGGATTATTTCTGCTTCAGGTCCGGTACTATATCTTGAGTTAGGTGAATACAGAACTTTTGTGGGAGGGGAGATTTCAGTAAACTTGCACTCAGATTTTTAAATGGGTTCACTTTGGGCACACACAATCCTTTGACGTTAACTTTCCTACTGCAAGCAACTCAGTGGTACTGGCTCAAACATTCGCTGAAAGTGAATGGCAGAGTCATGTCTCTGAATTTTAAATTCAGCTATGAAAAAATTTGTCCTGAGAGTGCTTCTCCCAGTATCTATTCAGAGAGCAGAAGCTAAGTCACGTGATTTATCTGGCCAATTATAACTAACAAACACAGTTCAAGCAGGTAAGTGTTAACAATCAATCTACAGACATTTAAATAATTTTAGAAATATTTTATGAATGCTTTGCTTTCAACTAGCAAATACATACGAGAATCACAATCTGCTCACAGAT